ACTTTCAAGGTACAGAGACGTATTAACCTGTCACCTACGGTCGGTTACTCCCTCGACCTACAGAAAAACCCTACGTTCCACGTTCCCTGTTGAACCTGTCCATTGTAGCCCGATGTACCCAATCGCTCAACAACCTACTACACCACTTTGGGGATGAACAGACACACCTTACAGTCACGAGATACTGGAGTCAAGACGGAGACGAGGGGGGCATCGAATATCTTGTGGACTGGGAGGGATATGGACCTGAGGAACGGTCCTGGGCCCCGGTAAGGACATACTGGTTCCCGCTCTCAAGGCCACTTTCCACGTGAGCACCCAGATCATCCAGGACCCGACCCAGAGGAAGACCACCCGGTTAAGAGGTAGAAGGCCGTCAGGAGCCGGCCTGGGGAGGGGGATACTGTAAGGGATCGGGGTTTGGGGGTCTAGAAGAGTCTGACATTTCCCCCGATCTACAAGAGGGGGGAGTATCAGACTCGATCTGGTTCACCTGAGTTCTGAGCACCCCGTCAGTAATTTAGTGTAGGATTTAAGGTGTGTCAGAAGCTCAGTCGGCGCGAGGTTTTGTTTCATTGTGACTTGCTAAGCGTTTGTTCCGAGAGAGAGAGAGAGAGTTTTTTGTTTTTGATTACCCGTGTATCCGACCTGTGCCTTGTGTTTGACTCCCCGTATTGTTAATCCTCGCTTGTCTACCCCAGTGTTTAAACCGACCTTGACCCTGTGCCTGTGCCCCGACTACGATAAGCCCGCCCCCTTGGTACCTCTGCCGTCTATGCCTGGCCCGGTTTTTGACCACAGCCCGCCCGACCACGATTAAGCTATTCCCTTGTCTGTACTCTAATAAAGCATCGCTATTCTGCGATTGGATCTTACCACTCTGTCCGAGTATTCATTACACTGACTAGTAATAAATGTGTCCTAAAAAAACAACGTTGCAAAATACTGTTGGTCTTGAACAACTTTCTTTGCGTCTGATGTGACGCCAGCACGTCATACTCAAAGTTCTGTCACTAGTGTACAAAGTGCGTTATCAAATCTGTACAAACATTTGTGCAGATTATACAATTAAATGCTACTGCTCTAATTATTTGTAACTACACTTACTACTTTGTAACTGTGAGAGATTTATTATTTTTATAATTGATGGGATGACTAACTTAGAAAGAATGCATTCTGACTGGGCTAGTGTAGGTTGTGTCACCTGGCAGGCTGTGATTGATGTGAAGAGCTGTTTTGGGGGGTAAGATGAGATAGGGATTTGTGTTTCCAGATACTGGAATATACTCAACCTAAGGAATGGAGGATATGACCTACCAGGCTTGGTGGAGTGACACTAGAGGGTGTCTAAAGGGGGCCAAAATGTACTTCTCTGTTTGTGTTTTATGCTTTATTAATCAAGTTAACCATGTGAATGTTTGTCTTTCCTTATGTTGATGGTTTGAAGTTCTTTGATGACTGGTAAACAATTTGCAAGTTGGGTGTAGATGGACTGAGGGTTTTAATTTTTTTAGTATCATTATGGCCTATTAATAAAAGTGTGATTATTTTTGTTTGTATTGTATTATAATGAATGACACCCTGTGTTTTCTAATTTTGAATCACACCCTAGTGGGTGTGAAAAGAGGGATTGTGAGAGATTTATTATTTTTATAATTGATGGGATGACTAACTTAGAAAGAATGCATTCTTGACTGGGCTAGTGTAGGTTGTGTCACCTGGCAGGCTGTGATTGATGTGAAGAGCTGTTTTGGGGGGTAAGATGAGATAGGGATTTGTGTCTCCAGATACTGGAATATACTGGTTCTTTGTGATCTGTGAACATTCCTTGGACGTAGGAATGGTGTCTAAGGGAGCTGGCTCTTCTCACTATGACAGGTTGTTATGATAAACGTATGCCTGGTAACAGAAGAGGCGGGGAACGGATAGGCTGAGTAAGTCTAAACCACGCTCAAGTCTCTGTATATACGAAACATCATATTTACCATTGAAGGTTTTTGCATTAATTAAAATAACTAGTATATCTTAGAAGTCGTGTTGACCTCTTTTGTTCCTAATACCAGATTTGAATTGACGCAACTTTGACATAACGCTCGCAGGTAAGTGATTAACTTTGGCAATGTGAAGTCAAATGCGTTGTGTGAAAGTAAAGCTATCCAGTTTGCAGCCATGTGAATGTATTTTAGCCAGAGGCGACCCTACCTTTGATCACCTGTTTTAGCTAACTAACGTTACCTAGCTAATTATTATTAGCAGACACCGCAGTAAGGCTAGTTAAGCCTATTAGTTGTCCCACTACCCTTTTACATTATAGCTACGTTTGTTTTTGTCATTTTCCTGCTGCATGGAAGCATATGTGGCCTAGCTTCGATGCAACCTTGGCCGTGTCTAGACTTGACAGTCATGCATCTACAACTACATTTAAATGTGTCCGGATTCCTTATTCTTGCGGTATATTCAAATGCCAGCATGTATTCTACAAACAGTGGAATAGGCAAAATATGATAATACAACAACGGATGGCTGTAACTAGCAAGCAACGCTAAAGGGATAGCAAACGGGTTAGCGTAAGTCTAGACCCAAAAAATAAAAACTTCCTAAATATTCGGTAGCTGTCTAGCATTTATGAGGCCAGCAAACACGCTAGGAAGGTATTTCCTCCAACGGTAGAATGAAAAGATGCCTTGGTCCCAAAACACGTTTTCTGGAGACTTGTGGGAGGAGTGGTGTTGACGTCGCCCACTGGATGCGCTTTCCGTAGACTGATTGCGTCCAGACTAAGGAGAAATCCGCACACAATGCAGCCCTGCCAGATCTGAACACAATTAGACCCGTCTTTTCTATGCGATCTTCGTATTCTGATAGCAGAAGTCGCATGTTAATGTAAAGTGTAGACACGAGAAAATGTCGAAAGTCTCTAGGTTCAGGTTGCATCGAAGCTAATGTGGCTGTACTTGAACTTTTCAAATGTCTCAATGTGCCTTGGCATGTCAACTATCTTGATCGCTAGGATTGTCCTTTTACATTTAATAAAGCTTGTGTGACCAGAAATGACATAAAACAGTTAGCTAGTTGTTTTAGATTATAACTTATTTTGTGACTTGTAAACAACATTGATTATTTCAATACCAGTTGCATTCTAGGTGCTTTATATGTTGTTGAATATTAATGTGTATACATTTTTCAGTCTATGCTTTTTCTTGGGCATATTCATTATGCCAATTCTGTTGCAAAAAGTTTCTCAAACTGAATCAAACTGAACGAAACCTACCTGAATTGGTCCAATAGAAACTCAAGTTTGAAACTAATTTAGACTAATGATTACACCCCTGTTGTGACCTTTTTTCTTTGCGTTCCTTCTCCGTAGCATCAATGTCAGTAGCGGACTCTAAACCAAACCTCAGCCATCTACAGGTGTCAGAGCTCGTGAAGAGGCTCTTTGGCTTGACGCCGTCCCAGATTCACCCGCTGCCCAGCTACGATGACCAGAACTTCCACTTGGTGGTCAGTGAGGGAAGCGAGTACGTCCTTAAGGTCATGAACTCTGCGGACAGTCAGAACCCCACTCTGCTGGAGCTGCAGACTCACGCCATGACCTTCCTGCACCAGAGGGGGATTCCTGCCCAGACTGTCCTCCCTACCACCTCAGGACAAGTCATGAGCCTGGAGGACATCGGTATGTATGAAGCCTGCACAACACAGAGTCATGGGATATGCTCTGGGAATCAACAGATGCTGCAGTATGATCATGGTATAATTGCATGTAAGACCTATTAACAAGACTAGCTGTCCTGAGTCTAGTCCTCGAGTGGAGACCAGAAACCAGTCTTCTCCGTGATACTTAGTTAGTCAATATATTTAGTAGAAATGGGCACCTATAGGGGCATTCCATACGAGAGTTGCGCAAAGATATTATGTTTTGGATCTTCCAGAAATTAAATCCATCGAAATGAAACCCAAAGGACCTTTCAATGGATTTCATTTAAAAAAGATCCAAAACATAAATATATTTTGGCCAATCTTATATGGAATTGCCCATATATCGAAAACAGTATAATTGTTTTGATACGATATGGATATATATACTGTGTGTGTGTGTGTGTGTATATATATATATATATATATAGCTCAAAAAAATAAAGGGAACACTTAAACAACACAATGTAACTCCAAGTCAATCACACTTCTGTGAAATCAAACTGTCCACTTAGGAAGCAACACTGATTGACAATACATGTCACATGCTGTTGTGCAAATGGAATAGACAACAGGTGGAAATTATAGGCAATTAGCGAGACACCCCCAATAAAGGAGTGGTTCTGCAGGTGGTGACCACAGACCACTTTTCAGTTCCTATGCTTCCTGGCTGATGTTTTGGTCACTTTTGAATGCTGGCGGTGCTTTCACTCTAGTGGTAGCATGAGATGGAGTCCACAACCCACACAAGTGGCTCAGGTAGTGCAGCTCATCCAGGATGGCACATCAATGCGAGCTGTGGCAAGAAGGTTTGCTGTGTCTGTCAGCGTAGTGTCCAGAGCATGGAGGCGCTACCAGGAGACAGGCCAGTACATCAGGAGACGTGGAGGAGGCCGTAGGAGGGCAACAACCCAGCAGCAGGACCGCTACCTTCGCCTTTGTGCAAGGAGGAGCAGGAGGAGCACTGCCAGAGCCCTGCAAAATGACCTCCAGCAGGCCACAAATGTGCATGTGTCTGCTCAAACGGTCAGAAACAGACTCCATGAGGGTGGTATGAGGGCCCGACGTCCACAGGTGGGGGTTGTGCTTACAGCCCAACACCGTGCAGGACGTTTGGCATTTGCCAGAGAACACCAAGATTGGCAAATTCGCCACTGGCGCCCTGTGCTCTTCACAGATGAAAGCAGGTTCACACTGAGCACATGTGACAGACGTGACAGAGTCTGGAGACGCCGTGGAGAACATTCTGCTGCCTGCAACATCCTCCAGCATGACCAGTTTGGCGGTGGGTCAGTCATGGTGTGGGGTGGCATTTCTTTGGGGGGCCGCACAGCCCTCCATGTGCTCGCCAGAGGTAGCCTGACTGCCATTAGGTACCGAGATGAGATCCTCAGACCCCTTGTGAGACCATATGCTGGTGCGGTTGGCCCTGGGTTCCTCCTAATGCAAGACAATGCTAGACCTCATGTGGCTGGAGTGTGTCAGCAGTTCCTGCAAGAGGAAGGCATTGATGCTATGGAGTGGCCCGCCCGTTCCCCAGACCTGAATCCAATTGAGCACATCTGGGACATCATGTCTCGCTCCATCCACCAACGCCACATTGCACCACAGACTGTCCAGGAGTTGGCGGATGCTTTAGTCCAGGTCTGGGAGGAGATCCCTCAGGAGACCATCCGCCACCTCATCAGGAGCATGCCCAGGCGTTGTAGGGAGGTCATACAGGCACGTGGAGGCCACACACACTACTGAGCCTCATTTTGACTTGTTTTAAGGACATTACATCAAAGTTGGATCAGCCTGTAGTGTGGTTTTCCACTTTAATTTTGAGTGTGACTCCAAATCCAGACCTCCATGGGTTGATAAATTTGATTTCCATTGATCATTTTTGTGTGATTTTGTTGTCAGCACATTCGACTATGTAAAGAAAAAAGTGTTTAATAAGATTATTTCATTCATTCAGATCTAGGATGTGTTATTTTAGTGTTCCCTTTATTTTTTTTGAGCAGTGTATATATATATATATATATATATATATATATATATATATATTGCCTTCAGAATGTATTCACGCCCCTTGACTTTTTCCACAATTTGTTGTTATAGCCTGAATTTAAAAAGGATTACATTGAGATGTATTGTCACTAGCCTACACACAATACCCCATCAAAGTGGAATTATGTTTTTCGACATTTTTACTGATTTAATTAAAAATGAAAGGCTGAAATGTCTTGAGTCATAGAGAATTCAACATATTTGTTATGGCAAGCCTAAATAACTTGAGGAGTAGAAATGTGCTTAACAAGTCACATAAATTGCACGGACTCACTCTGTGTGCAATAATAGTGTTTAACATGATTTTTAAATGACTACCTCATCTCTGTACCCCACACATACAATTATCTGTAACGTCCCTCAGTCGAGCAGTGAATTTCAACCACAAAGACCAGCGAGGTTTTCCAATGCCTCGCAAAGAAGTGCACCTATTGGTAGATTAAGAAAGCAGACATTGAATATCCCTTTGAGCATGATGAAATTATTAATTACACTTTGGATGGTGTATCAATACACCCAGTCACTACAAAGATACATGCGTCCTTCCTAACTCAGTTGCTGGAGAGGAAGGAAACCGCTCAGGGATTTCACCATGAGGCCAATGGTGACTTTAAAACAGTTACTGAGTTTAATGGCTGTAATAGGACAAAACTGAGGATGGATCAACAACATTGTTGTTACTCCACAATACTAACCTAATTGACATAGGGGAAAGAAGGAAGCCTGTATAGAATACTAATTTTCCAAAACATGCATCCTGTTTGCAACCAGGCACTACAGTACTACTGCAAAAAATGTAGCAAAGCAATTAACTTTCTGTCCTGAATACATTTTACATTTTAGTCATTTAGCAGACGCTCTTATCCAGAGCGACTTACAGTTAGTGAATACATATATATATTTGTTTATACTTGCCCCCCCCGTGGGAATCGAACCCACAACCCTGGCGTTGCAAACGCCATGCTCTATCAACTGAGCTACATCCCTGCCGGCCATTCCCTCCCCTACCCTGGACGACGCTGGGCCAATTGTGCGCCGCCCCATGGGTCTCCCGGTCGCGGCCGGCTGAGACAGAGCCTGGATACAAAGTGTTATGTTTGGGGCAAATCCAATACAACACATTACTGAGTACCACTCTCCATATTTTCAAGCAAAGTGGTGGCTGCATCATGTTATGGGTATGTAAATGGAATGGAGCTAAGCACAGGCTAAATCCTAGAGGAAAACCTGGTTAAGTCTGCTTTCCGACAGACACTGGGAGATGAATTCACCTTTCAGCAGGACAATAACCTAAAACACAAGGCCAAATCTATGCTGGAGTTGCTTACCAAGAAGACAGTGAATGTTCCTGAGTGGCCGATTTTACAGATTTGACGTAAATCTATGGAAAGACCTGAAAATGGTTGTCTAGCATTGATCAACAACCGATTTGACAGAGCTTGAAGAATTTCGAAAATAATAATGGGCAAATGTTGCACAATCCAGGTGTGGAAAGCTCTTAGAGACTTACCCAGAAAGACTGATAGCTGTAATCACTGCCAAAGGTGATTCTACAAGGTATTGACTCAGGGGTGTGAATATTTATGTAAATGATATATTGCTGTATTTCATTTTCTATACATTTGCTAACATTTCTAAAAACATGTTTTCACTTTGTTATTCTGTATTGTGTGTAAATGGTTAAGAAAAAAATTATATTTAATCAATTTTGAATTCGGGCTGTAACACAACAAAATGTGGAATAAGTCAAGTGGTATGAATACTTTCTGAAGGCACTGTATATCTGTTTGCAAATAAACAAGTCCAGACAACTGCTTGCTGATTGCTATTGGGCCAGGTGTGAGTGTTCTGGGAGCCTGAAACCTACCCAACCAGTCTGAATACAGTATTTGGGTGAGTCATCTACCGGTGATGACTCATGCTAACGGTGATGACTCATGCTAAGTTGACGGTCTGTGAGAGGGTTTTGTGCATACAGAAACAGTTGTGCTTTTTTATATAATAGTGTAGGTTAACAGGAAGTATAAACTGATATCAGGATATGCCTAGCTCATATTGATTATAAAATTATTACCATTTTCGATATTGGTTCCTGCCACTACTATTAGTGATCAACAAAAGTGATCCCTCACTTGGTTTGAAACAGGGTTGTCAAACTCCATTCCTGGAGGGCTGTGTGTCTGCGTTATATCCTTTCAATCTGTCCAATTAAGACCCAGACAACCAGGTTAGGGCAATTCATAACTAATCAGTGACCTTAAGACCCAGACAACCAGGTTAGGGCAGTTCATAACTAATCAGTGACCTTAAGACACAGACATCCAGGTTAGGGCAATTCATAACTAATCAGTGACCTTAAGACACAGACATCCAGGTTAGGGCAATTCATAACTAATCAGTGACCTTAAGACCCAGACAACCAGGTTAGGGCAATTCATAACTAATCAGTTATCTTAATTGATCAATCAAGTATAAGGGAGGAGTGAAAACTTGCAGACAGACACTTGGCCGTCCAGGGTTTGGGTTTGACACCCCGGTGTTAAAGGTGCATTCAGTTGCTGGAAGTATGAATAACAATACTGCAACACTAGAGGATCAGACCTGGGGAAACCTTCAATAAGAGATCAAACTGAAATCATATCAGTTGCACTGCATTTTAATGTCGAGGAGTCAAGCTAGTTTAGCTGAGTATTAGTACCTCTGGCTAGGTAACAGTCTGAATATTAGTACCTCTGGCTAGGTAACAGTCTGAATATTAGTACCTCTGGCTAGGTAACAGTCTGAATATTAGTACCTCTGGCTAGGTAACAGTCTGAATATTAGTAACTCTGGCTAGGTAACAGTCTGAATATTAGTACCTCTGGCTAGGTAAACAGTATGAATATTAGTACCTCTGGCTAGGTAAAACTGTCTGACTATTAGTAACCTATGGTAGGTAACAGTCTTGATATTAGATACCTTGGCTATGTAACTGTCTGAATATTAGTACCTTGCTAGGTAAAGTATGAATAGTAGTACCTCGGCTAGGTAACAGTCGAATTTAGCCCAAACAAAAAAAAAACTACCTCGGTAGGTAACTAGTTGAATATAGACCTCTGGCTAGGTAACGAGTCTGACTATTAGTACCTCTGGATAGGTAACAGTTGAATATTAGTACCTCTGGCTAGTAACTGTCTGAATTTAGAACCTCTGGCTAGGTAACTGTCATGAATGATTAGTACCTCTGGCTAGATAATTTCGGAATATTAGTACCTATGGCAGGTAATGTCGAATATTAGTCCTCTGGAGATAGGTAACCGTCTGAGTATTTAGTAACTCTGGCTAGGTAAACTGTATAGAATATTAGTACCTCTGGCTAGGTAACTGTCTGAATAGTAGTACCTCTGGCTAGGTAACTGTCTGAATAGTAGTACCTCTGGCTAGGTAACAGTCTGAATATTAGTACCTCTGGCTAGGTAACAGTCTGAATATTAGTACCTCTGGCTAGGTAACAGTCTGAATATTAGTACCTCTGGCTAGGTAACTGTCACGTTCGTTCAATGACGGGTCAGACCAAGGCGCAGCGTGATATGCGTACATGTTTATTAAAGTAATAAACAACACGACAAAGGAAACGAAACGTGAAGTCCTAAGGTTAGAATACACAACTAACCTTACCAGGAACAAGATCCCACAACAAGATAGTGCCAATAGGCTGCCTAAGTATGGGCCCCAATCAGAGACAACAAGCGACAGCTGCCTCTGATTGGGAACCACACCGGCCAACATAGATCCACACATACTAGATCGACAACATAGAAAAAGCACAACAAGGAATATACAGACCCTGACTCAACATATAAGCGTCCCCTGAGTCAGGGCGTGACAGTAACAGTCTGAATATTAGTACCTCTGGCTAGGTAACAGTCTGAATATTAGTACCTCTGGCTAGGTAACTGTCTGAATATTAGTACCTCTGGCTAGGTAACTGTCTGAATATTAGTACCTCTGGCTAGATAACTGTCTGAATATTAGTACCTCTGGCTAGGTAACTGTCTGAATATTAGTACCTCTGGCTAGGTAACAGTCTGAGTATTAGTACCTCTGGCTAGGTAACTGTCTGAATATTAGTACCTCTGGCTAGGTAACTGTCTGAATAGTAGTACCTCTGGCTAGGTAACTGTCTGAATAGTAGTACCTCTGGCTAGGTAACAGTCTGAATATTAGTACCTCTGGCTAGGTAACGGTCTGAATATTAGTACCTCTGGCTAGGTAACAGTCTGAATATTAGTACCTCTGGCTAGGTAACTGTCACGTTCGTTCAATGACGGGTCAGACCAAGGCGCAGCGTGATATGCGTACATGTTTATTAAAGTAATAAACAACACGACAAAGGAAACGAAACGTGAAGTCCTAAGGTTAGAATACACAACTAACCTTACCAGGAACAAGATCCCACAACAAGATAGTGCCAATAGGCTGCCTAAGTATGGGCCCCAATCAGAGACAACAAGCGACAGCTGCCTCTGATTGGGAACCACACCGGCCAACATAGATCCACACATACTAGATCGACAACATAGAAAAAGCACAACAAGGAATATACAGACCCTGACTCAACATATAAGCGTCCCCTGAGTCAGGGCGTGACAGTAACAGTCTGAATATTAGTACCTCTGGCTAAGTAACAGTCTGAATATTAGTACCTCAGGCTAGGTCACCGTTAGTTAACAGAGTCAGAGCTGCCTTTTATCTACAATGCCTCTAGGTAAATGGCAGAGTTCATTTAAACGTTGTTGACAAGGAGGGGGTGCAACAGAATTAGCATATATTCCAATTTCCCCCAGAGGGCTGCAGATCTCTTGAAATTACTATTTTCTCCTGGTAGACTGCGGCTTTGGCAGGCAGAAGTACCTGGTGAGACTGCTGACCTATTTACCGGGGACCACCATCGTCAAAGTGCCCAGCTCTCCACAGATCCTCTATGAAGCCGGCAAGATGGCTGCCAAGATGGACGCACTCCTGCAGGAAGTATGATTATATTAAATTAGTCTGCCTGAGGTGCGTTCAAGTAGGCTAATGTTTGCAAATGTTTCTATTTAAAGTGCATACAGTTAGGTTGGCAACATTTAACCTGAAGGGGGTAAGACATTCATAACACCCTAATAAAAACATTAATAACCGTTACCTCTCGTGACATCAAAAATGATTTTCACTGCAATGTCTGGGCTTATGGTTTGTGCAACATTGTAGCCTATATAGACCTGTTGTGTGGCAGTTGCTGTGGTAAGAGAGAGAAGAGCACCTGGAGGCCTGTGTGTAGCCCAATCACAATTGATATCCTACGGTCGGGAACTTTCGGCAAATCTGTCAGTGAACAGAATGCAGACAAAACAAGCCTTTTGCCATATTTCAAATAAAATCGCGGGAAAAAACAGGTTGGAAAGCAAATGGCTCCTGCTGAAAAGAGAAGAGTAATCTGTTTGTAGGATACCAAAATATATTGTATCAATTTCCAAATAGGCCTATTGTGCGAACAGCGTTGTTTTACAAAGTAAAACAAGAGAGATATGCTTTTTGGCACGAGAGCATCGGTCATCGCTGGAGCTGCGCATAAATGAGTCAGTGAGTGAAACTGGAAAGCTTTTTTAGGACTATAATTTCCTCCTTATGTTGTACAGTATGTGTCTCCACAGACGTAGGCTATTGATGGAGTCAAGACAAGGTCGTTTTTATTGATCCCAGAATCTCACTTTGTCAGTAGCAAATGCGATGATATGCATGTAATGCTTTATTATAAAGGTGATTTTCTTTTTCATACGTTCCGGTACCTCAGAGCCCGCCAGGTCACCCCCCCTTTAGCAATCACTTTTTGCTCCCACCTCCCGATTTACAAATGAAGCACTGCATAACCCCCTTTATGAGTATTGTAGTATCATTCATAACAACCTTTATAAGACATTTATTCAATATCATTCATGAGGAAATAAAATACCCTTTTCTCATTACAGAACTACTTGAAGGGGGTATACAAAAGGTATTCATATGAAACCATTCATAACATCTTTATGAGTGTCGCAATATCATTCATTCAGTATCATATTCCCTCTTCAAGTACAGAATGAACCCAGTAAAGTGTTACCTTTATGTTTGTTAGGTTTGGCTCCGGGCAAACAAAAGTAGCAGCGTTGTAAGATGTTGAAAAACCATCACAATACAAATTATTCTAGGAGGCTGATTCTTATTCTGTATTAGCGAAGCAATTTCCTGCATATAGAGAGCATGAAAATAGGTTCAGTAGATAGAAATAGTTACAATGGGTTGAAATATGCATTGAACATACAGTAGAAGTGTAAAACCGGAGACACTTTTTTTTGCTGGATCGTTTCAGTCTTGTTCGCTTTGAATGTATGTGAGCTTTGAACGCACCTCTAAATGTGGAGCTAACAAAATATAATGATTTTCTCAGATTTTCCCTTGCATGCTCTATGACCCGTCTGCTACGCGTGATCATATGATTTCAATAACTTTTAATTTAAATAATGAGTGATTTGGCTAACAGATATTTCAGCAGCAAAAACGTAATACATAATTTGCTTATAGCTGTACAACGGTATGTTTTTATTGTTGAAGTGTCTATTCACTGATCACCAGTAGTTAACTCAGTTCCTGGCTGATGACATTAGTATGTGTTCACAGATGGAGCATCCTCAACTCCAGGTACTACAGAGGGAGAAGTTCATCTGGAGTCTGTCCAACATCCCTCTTCTGGAGCCATACGTCCCTCTGATGGATGGGGATCCTGTGCAGCAGGTGATCAAGTCAATCATCCAGCAATACAAGACTTGTATACAGCCCAAACTCGGCTCCTTCCGCAAGTGTGAGTGTCTCCCTTCACCATCTGTTCTGTCGGGGCTCTCTTTAATAGACCTGGTTCAATTGGAAGAAAATGGACTGGAACAGGGAAGGACTACGTGGACTAGTTAATCAACAAAAGCTAATTTTAGCTTTCCGTTGTGAAATATTTTTAAACGTTTTCCGTTGCATGCCACAATGAACATGACCCTTTTATTAACAATGCAACATGGAACCAGTCTGTTGTAATGATTGACAGGTCAGATGCTGATACAGGTGGAGAATGTAAAAGTTTATAACTGAGCCGTGAAAGCAGAACTGGTGTCAAATAGTATTGGTTTTCTTTCAAATACTTTCAATGGGCATGATTTCGCTTACTCAATGGACCAATGGAATAGGCCCAAAAGTTCAAACCACACCCATCTGGTACTCCAGGTAGACTCAAGCAAACGCTCAAAACATTTGAACGATTATACTGTTTTATTTGAGCACACGTCTGGTACTATTGCGCATGCATATCTGATATGTCAGTAAACGTGCATTTGTCTTTACGTAGGTATCAACCACGGGGACTTTAATAACCACAACATCTTGGTGCAACCAGACGATTCAGCCACCTACAAAATCTCTGGCATCCTGGACTTTGGGCACATGAGCAGTGGCTACTATGTGTACGAGCTGGCCATCGCCATCATGTACATGATGATCGAGAACCCCACGCCTCTGGATGTGGGAAGAGCCGTGCTGGCTGGCTGGGAGAGTGTTCTTCCCCTCAACGAGGCCGAGAGGGACGCCCTCTACCTGCTGGTGCTCTGTCGCTTCTGCCAGTCCCTGGTTCTGGCTCGCCACACTGTGGCCCAGCAGCCGGAGAACGAGGATTACATCATGATCACCGCCAAGACGGGCATCCGCCATCTTTTCCGGCTATGGGAACTTGGCAAGGAGGAGGTGGAGAGGAGGTGGTTTCAGAGTGCCGCCCAGTATCCTGGCAAAGACTGACCCAATGGTCTTCAGGGAGCACCTTCTTTTTATAGGCTGCGTTCCGATTCTTTACCCGTCTCACAAAGTGTTGTGGACGTTCCCTGTCAGGGATTTAATAATGGTGGAAAACCCCTCCAGCCAATGCTTACACCAATCCAATGCTTTTGAATCCATGTGGATTCTGCAGGTGCACCTTTTAGTATTAAAGGTACACTCAGCAATGTGACATCATCAAAAAGTGGGTCATGCCTCGAGCTAATAGTGGCTCGTCATCCTGTTATGCATGATAGAGTCATATTGCTGAGTCTACCTTTAGCAGACAGACCATCTGATTAAAATGCAGACTCATTTAAACTTACCTGGATTCCATCAGTCTGGCGGTGTGACTGAGAAAATCTGACCAAATCCAGTTCTAAAACCGTTTTGAAAGTGTCGTATCGAGTAAATGCTGGCAATTATTGCTGATTAACAAAGGAGTCTGCTCATACTGAACTTGGATCATAACGTTTATTCATATCACAAGGTTTCAGCATAAGTGACGGATGTCATGACACCCGGAGAGCGACTTCCCAGATTGCAATGGTTGCTCTAACCTCTTCTTCCTCCAGCATATACTTATAAACAATGTAAAAATATGGGTTGCTCCCTCTGCTGTCCAATCACCTGTCTCCCCTGGGGCGTCACCCTACAAATAGCTACTTTTGAACTAAGATAAACATTCTTTCAGTTCCACTTAAAAACCATTAACAAAGACATAATCCTAATACACTACATTTCCCCCCTTCGAGACGAACTAAAAGTCTCGAAAACAAACAGAATAGGATTATGACAAGTAACAATTTATCTTATTGAGTATCTTTAACATTAAACCAAAAAACATTCTTCTCTAGTGTATATACCTTTCTATGAATTATTTTATTTTAGACTATATAGCCTATGGCTTCCCCCCTTTAATTATTAATATAAACCAAACAACCAAACAACAACAAAAATATGAATATTTAAAAAAATCAATAAAAAATGTTATTCAAAAAATATTTTTAATTAAAATAAAAAATCAATTAAAAAATCAATTAAAAATTATGAATAATTAAAACCAATTTTTTATTTCTATATCCTATCTTACCAATTTATCAATTAGTGGCTTACCACAACCCATCAGGAAAGAAAATGCAAGTAGTCAACTTCAGACTACAATCCTAAAAAACCCCTTTCTCTATAAGCACCCAATTATTTTAATTTTACAGAATAATGTCAGTACTCGATTTCCAACAGAACTGTAATCAAACCAAGTGATGCACAGAAACTCCAAAATGCAAATTTTATTCAAATGATCAGTCTGTTGCCAAGCCTCTGTGAAATTGTCATAACATCAAATATCCTGTAGGGGAAGATTTTGTAAACAGACCAGTACCAAAACCTTTTTGACTCGATCCCCGTCACGTGATGTCACGTCAGCACCTCTCTTTCTTTCTCCCTCTCTCTCCTCTCGTCTCGTCCTATCGTTCCTCTCATATGACAAAAGAACAGAGACACAGAAAAAGATTTTAGTAGTTAATGCAATCACTGAGTTACTTCCAGCATTCAATATTTCTTCGTTCACATTCGCTCTAAGAATCAACTCAGGAATAATTATAGATCGCTCAAAAACATTTTTATTTTATTTATTTAATTATTTTATATTTTTAATCCGTCAACATATCTCTCTCATTTATCCATTCAATAGGTCACAAAAACAGTTTCATCTTTAACCAACAGCCGATGTAACAACCAAAATACACCATTAGACTCTAAATGTCTAATTCTTTGTTCCTTCCTTTTTGTTTGTCTCAGCCTCCCCGCAACACAGTGTAACAGAGGAGTGACCTATTTACCCAAAATCCCCCGGGTTGTAGTTTTAGTAAACAACGTGTTGTAGTCTAGTGCCGGAAAACAAACGTGTCATAATCTCGTACCATAAACTCCCACGTTTTGTAGTGTAGTGTCGTAAAATTAAACGCATGCGCAATACATTCAACGATACGATTTCCAGACAATAGAACATTAGCATTCAGCTACAGCTTCTCTATTTTACCCCTTATAATCAAACAATAACACTTAACAGAGCTCACAATTGCATAGAACTCTGAATTCTACACACACAAACATAATTTAAGAGGCTTTATTCCATCGCAATGGCCCTCTTAGGTCACACGTTAGCATGTAGCACGCAACACAATTAGCATTTAGCATTAGCATTTAGCATTAGCCTTTATGTACAATGTGGCATGAAACACAACCAGCATTTAGCATTAGCATTTATCATGTGGCGTGCAACATGTAACAAGAAACCTGCACTGCCCTTTCCTTTGTCTTATTCTCTACCGTTTGTGATGCCGTGAGTTCAATGACCATCTACAGAGAGATTACCCCAAGCAGACATCCCGTCGGACAAAAGATGAGCAATAATCACAATCCAATAAATTCCATCAACCCGAGTTTTTAAAACACACCTAATACACATCTAACGCGCAAGAGGATTTTCGGCCCATCCTGGATGGACCACCCCGGGGTCTTACACGGTGCAGTGCCCTAATGTATACGTATATCTGCCTTTATTCACTACCAATCAATTGTTCTAGACTTCCTATTATTTGCGCCGTTTACCAATGCAACCAAATTTTTGAATAATTATTACAGACCCCTAGTCGACAGCACTAACACCACATCAGCACAAACCCAAGTAATTTACACGGTACATACTATCCAATGCCCCCCACTGAGCCAGCGGAACAACTAATGCCCAAATTTTGTGAGAAATCTCACCTTAGCCGGCTTGAGCGGTAGTCACCTCGCGACTCAGGAACGGGACAAAGAACGATGCATACAGATCCCAGACGAGCCCCCATTTGTAGTGTATCTTGTCGCTGCTGGTGCTCATTGCTGTCAAACAAAGGAGTCCGCTCATACTGAACCTTTGATCATAAGTTTTATTCATATCACAAGATTTCAGCATGAGTTACAGGTGTCATGCCCACCCGGAGAGCGACGCCCCAGATTGCAATGGTCGCTCTAACCTCTTCTTCGTTTTTCCCCCAGTATATATAATCTCCCCAAGATGTGGGTGGCGCCCTCTACTGTCCAATCCCCTGTCTACAACACACTTCCTGTCTGTTGTATGTGGCGTTACACTAAAACATTCCCTCTTGATACTAAAATAAACGTCCTCTCCAGTTCCACTTAAAAACCATTAACAAAAACATAATCCTAATACACTACAAAAGATTCAAGATATTGAATCTTGGTCAGTCTCAGATTTGTCTGATTGTCTGTGGGTACAGGTTCCAGTGCTCTAAAATCTAGATTTTCTCTGATGGTCTGTGGGAACTCAGGTTTAAGGTTTTACATGTCATCTCTTAACACTCCCAAAACTTTGATTTACGAGTTTAAAAAACGTGATGAACCATGACCACTGTAAGCTTTTTATTGGTGATTTGTGCTCTTTTCCAAATGGCATTCTGTCATACTGTGGATAATGTCTGTGCCGGGTTGAAGGCCATATGATTATTCAAATGTGTAGGTTACTCTGAGTCAGCTATTGCAGTGTCCAATTCCACCGTATGTCCTGTGTCAATTTCATAATTCCATTTTTAGGGCTCACTTCAATTAAAGTGTAACTCATTTACAAAGTAAGCAATTCAACAGCTATGACCTACATGTACCTGAAGTGCCTGTGCAAAGAGAAGGAATGTACCATGATTGTTTTTTTAAATCATATTTTGTAAGAAATTAATCTCATTCATTGCATAATAAACCGCAACAAATAAATGAATTGAGAGAAACTTTCAAAGTATTTATTTTATTTAATGAAACTGGATATATCAATCAATGAAGCAGTGGGGATATACAGTCATGTCCGAAATGATTGTCACCCTTCATAAAGATGAGCAAAAAAGAAAAAGAAAACACATACTGAACAAAACTCAGCAACAAAAAGAAACGTCCTCTCACTGTCAACTGCGTTTATTTTCAGCAAACTTAACATGTGTAAATATTTGTATGAACATAACAAGATTCAACAACTGAGATATTGTTGTGTCAAGAATACTATGCTGAGATGCTGTGAGAACAAGGAGATCCGCTGACGCTGTACTTTGATTATAAAGGTTTATTCATAACAAAGGATTTCAGCGTCGATTTACAGATACCTGCAGGCATCTGGAGAACAGCCAACCCAAATTCTAAATATGCTATTCTGACCTACTTTGTCTTCACCAAGTATTTATCCTATGTAATCTGATATGGGTGTTTCCCCTACAGACCAATCCCAGGAGGGCACCTAACAGACTTCCTCTGCTTTAGGGTGCCCCTCTAAAACTGCTCTCCAGATGTCTCCCTGGGCCAAATCAACATTCTCTAAGCTACCATTTGCAAACATTAACAAAGTCATATATTCCTCAGATACTACAATATAAACTGAACAAGTTCCACAGACATGTGACTAACAGAAATGGAATAATGTGTCCCTGAACAAAGGGGGTGTCAAAATCAAAAGTAACATTCAGTATCTGGTGTGGCCACCAGCTGCATTAAGTACTGCAGTGCATCTCCTCCTCATGGACTGCACCAGATTTGCCAGTTCTTGCTGTGAGATGTTACCCCACTCTTCCTCCAAGGCACCTGCAAGTTCCCGGACATTTCTGGCCCTAGCCCTCACCCTTCGATCCAACAGGTCCCAGACGTGCTCAATGGGATTGAGATCCGGGATCTTCGCTGGCCATGGCAGAACACTGACATTCCTGTCTTGCAGGAAATCACGCACAGAACGAGCAGTATGGCTGGTGGCATTGTCATGCTGGAGGGTTATGTCAGGATGAGCCTGCAGGAAGGGTACCACATGAGGGAGGAGGATGTCTTCCCTGTAATGCACAGCATTGAGATTGCCTGCAATGAGAACAAGCTCAGTCCGATGATGCTGTGACACACCGCCCCAGACCATGACGGACCCTCCACCTCCAAATCGATCCCGCTCCAGAGTA